ATGAAAAACAATAGACTCTGTGGGCAGTAAATACATTATTCCCACAAGTCTGAACAGGAAATGATCTGGACAGCTTCGCCAGAACAGGGGGGCCAGGGAACCATTGGCCCCTCCACTTTACCACCCGACCCATTTTTATTTGTTATTTGGGTTCTATCTCCTACCAGGCATAGCAGGGCAAGTGTCAATGGGACCGCTACATCCAACCAGTTACTCAGCAAATCCACTGGTTTAACCCAGAAGGGTTTGACTGATTTGCAGTCCCATATTCAGTGCATCGGCTTATTTTGGTGGGGGCAAAATGAATCGTAGCAACAACAAAAAGAGTCGAAGCAATAAAAAATATTACTCAAAAGAAAAAGGTACAGTGCTGTGAAGCTACTCTAATAAGTACTTTTTTCCCCAAAAAAAGTTACTCAAGGGAATGTAACCAGATCTACCCAATTTTGAACATAGGCAACATCATCAGTAGCCTGCAGGCTACTTGTTAACAAGCTCTAGGTGCTGTGTTGTTATCAGCTAGTAATCTTTTAGCTAACATTAGCTGCATCCAACAGCATTTGAACTCAGCCGGTTAGTTTGCTTGAAAAACTGTGCAAAGTTCTTTGCGTTTTGTTGGTTTGTTGCCATAAATCTAATATCATTACATTTTATTTCCAGCCCCTTAATTCTATTTACAACTTACATTGCTGACAGCCTATCTCATAATCTAAAAAGCTTGAAAACATATTATTAGAATAACAAATAACAGTGAAACTTACAAATGTCCAGAAAGAGAAATAGGAAACACTCCATGAAAGATGTAAACAGGCCGCAATCAATCACTTTAAGCAGTCGTGGTTTAAATGAGCTGTTCCCTCTGCTCTAAAAGGAGTAATTTCCAATTTCATTCAGAAATCTGTGGGCACAGATAAAAAAAATAATAATAATAATTTTCCACAGATTGGCTATAAAACGTGCAGATGGATTTAGACTTGGAGATCACAATTTAGATCCAACAATAGATTTATAGCTTTTTACTTGTGCTTATTTCTCCTGCTGGAACTGTGTGATAATGGTTGGATAAAATGTTCCAACCATATTCTCCAAAATGAGGGCAGCCACTGATGATGTGAATTACTTCAATATGTGATTTGACCAATCTGAAAATAAATAAATAAATGAATAAATAAAGGGCATTTTTACTCGAGGATTGCAACATAACCCAGCATTTAAATTCCACTAATCGCTGCAGGAAGCGGATCGAGTCATTTACACCACAGTAAAACCTAATTTAGTGTTGAGGATATTTTAGAGGAGGCATTTCAGTGCAGAACATGACTGAAGTGAAATGCAGCCTCAGGATATTAACACTTTAAAGAAATCCTGCTGCGTTTTTATGTAATTACACAATGATCTGTTATTTCCTGCTCCATATAAATAAATAAATGAATGGATAAATACGGGTTTTTAAGAACAAAGTAATCGAACATGGGCTCAACAGCTTTGCCTTTTTTCCCCCTTTCGACATTATTAGTCATGTAGTTGTGGAGGAATTTATGGCCTATTTTTCTTTTTTCTTTTCTTTTTTGAGTTCATTGATATTCGCAGACATTTTTTAATGAACAGATCCTCTCAACCTTACACAGTCTGAGCTTGGACTGAGTGATGAGGGATGTCACACTCATCTATCTGGACACACCAGCCCTCTTGTCCATACATCTGTGTGCAGATGAGTTGGCAACGTGGCGTTTAGTGTCCCACCCAGAGACACTTTCACATGATGGAAGCTGAAATTGAACTTACAGTCTTCTGGTTAGAAGATTGGTTACTCTTCCCACTGATCAACAGCTGATCACAATCAGCTGAACTTGAAAGTGGCGAAAAATAATCTCTGGTGTCTTTCCGACTTAGCATTGTGCTAATTTACTTCGTTTGGAAGCAGCGAATTTGAACTCTGTTTAGAGACACACTCTTATCCAGGAAAGCAGCTCGTTTTTTGGCTCAATTTATTATAACTGTGGATTTGGCCAAAGAATCAAGATATCTTCCTGACTAAATTAAATCACTCAACGATTATGCACAATAATAGTTTAAGGGATAGTAATTATTACTTCACACGTTTGTGCCGTATTTCTGTGTGAGACCTAAAGGGAAGAGGAGATTCACAAAATGGAACAACTGCTGACACTAAACATCAGCTCTGTAGGCGACACTCATCCACACGAATCACATCTGCAGGTGAATCACCGTGTCAGTCAGGAAATGTCCAAACCACATGTGCTGTAGAAATGTCCATGGCGTGTTGTCCTGCTTCATGACATGATCCAGTGCTACTGAATGAACAATGTGAGCTCAGTCAAAGATAATAAATCAACCTTTCATTTCCATGGTTTCCCTGAGCAGCCTGTACTCTGACCCTGGACACATTTTATCACACTATTGATTTGGAGGAAAGATTGTCTCCCAATTGATCAGTGGCTTTATCCGTGGCTAAAATGTCCTTCCACAGGATGCTGAATCCTGGTTTACCTCCCACAGGTCATCAGACTGTGATTCTGTGTAAGATAAAGAGAAGCACTGCATAGTCTAATGGACCATATTGATGAATGTCAAAGCCGTCCGTTAAATCCTTTCATTTACTCAAGTGGATTTAATTATGGTTATTTTGCTACTTCACTATTTTATGTTCAAGGGAGAACGCACAGGAAAAGTTAAAGCAAGTAAATAAGCATCTTTTCCACTGGTGCAACATCATTAAAACAGTTTATCACGCGTGAAATCACCTGTGTACACTTTGATTGGAAAAGCAAAAATAATTGATAAAGGAGAGAAAGTTCCCAACAGCAAAGGACCAAATTGAAACAAAATCAATACCTGAAAGCAAACACGTATATTTCAGTATTTCAGTGAGACTAACTTGAGTAGATGGATGTGGAGCAAAATATACTGGAGGTGGTCTCATGCAGAATGACACATATGGGTCAAACCCCGACAGGGTGCAGTAGGGGTTTGGTTTGGGACTCGTACTAAAAGATGAGCTTGTTGAACCCACTGCAGTTAAAGATGGACTAATGACGTCTCTCTAATTGTAGTTGCCACATCTGGGACATGCTTAACTCCAGCTACATTAAAAGAAGACGTTCACATTCAAAGTTAAACGAAAGCAAAAGAATAACTTCACTTTCGTCTTCTTTCCTTTGGTTTCTACTGGAAACTTTGGACTATTTCGATCACACACTTTGGAGCTCAGAATCCATTTTGTTGTCCGATACATATAGTGGTGAAAAAGCAACTTTCCCCCTTGCAAATGTGTTTGTTTGTTTCATCACATAAATGTTTCAAATTATAATCATATACACATCAGACAAAAAAAAAAAACTAAGTAGATTGTAAAAAGTGCATGCCAACACTGCTAACCAAAAAGAACTAAAAGATTGGTCTCACATTTAATATAAAAACATCTTGAGATCATACTTTTGAGGACTGATGATACACAGGAGGAATCATTTGAAGGGTCTCTGCCTGTTTACATTTGACTTAAAACTAACGCCACGTTTCATTAAAATGGATTAAACCATTAAACTCTCTCTGCTGGAAACACCAGACAGGGAAGCAAACTTCGGCTTTGCAGCATGACAATGATCTTAAGCATAACAACAAGTCTTCCTCTTAATGTCTAAAAAAAGAAAGCAATAACAATTTTGGAGTGGCCTAGTCACAGTCCGGATATTAAACCAATTGAGAAGATGACTTTAGGCAGGCCGTTTGTGCTTGGAAGCTCTCCAGTGTGACTGGATTAAAACAATCCTGCAAAGTTTTCTTGCTTTCAGCAGGAATGTGCTCATCCTGTGATCCAAAGTCAAACTCCCATGATGACTTCATGCAGCAAATGTGTTTATTTGGATAGTAAATAGCTCAAGAAACTGTCTGCTCTACCAATTTATTATTGCTTATTCCAGTATGTATGCATGTGTGTGGTTTCATTGTTGTTTTGTCTCTCATATCCAGGACAATAAAATAGATTTTTAATCCTGAGTTTATCTTCATGCTTAATAGTTAAAAATAGAAAGAGAAACGGTGTGGATTTTGATCTATTTTTATATATGCTGTAGTAGAAGATTCAGAACATTGAATTTTGTGTTCCTGTAACATGTTGGGTTGCTCATTCACCCATCAGTAGACTTAAATTTTGCGATGGAATAACCTTACGGACTAAGTCTAAAAGCTGTGTCATGTGGACGCCGCAAATTTGCAAAAATAATTATTTCCTCAATCACTGTATTAAATGTTTGAATGCCGAAGCCGCAGAAGACACATTTACATTTGATGCATTCCAATTAGACGTTCAAGTTCTAACAAGCAGCTCCGTTTGTGAGAATATACGATGTTCCCACTTGCTGTGCGAATCATTCCCGTTTGTCTTTAATCCCAGCATGACGGCTGTGATTGATGGTTCTCGTTCAGTCAGTATTTATGCCACTGCGTATGTGCGTGTGTGTGTCAGCTTTTCAGAAGTTTTTGGGGAAGACGGATGTGTCCCAGGAGCTGGAGGAGGTCCACGCGGAGGCACGGGCTCAGGACAACCTGAACACTGTCTCTGTGTTACAGCTGCTGAGGAGCCCAGCTGTTCGCTGGCAGCTCATCACCATCATCATCACCATGGCTTGCTATCAGCTCTGCGGACTCAACGCTGTAAGATGTGTCCCCCGTGTTTCATCAGGTTTTCCGTTTAATGCTGTTTTGTATCCATTATTTAGGTGCTTCCATGCACCATATTCTCAATTTTTCATAGAGAATTAAAACTGCATCCTATTTAAAGAGATTAATAACACATTTGTGTAATCTACCAAAAAAAAAAAAAAAAGTGTTTCTTCTGTCTGGACATCCCTCTAGAAGATACTTTGTCACCCCATGTTAGGAAGCTTTAAAACTCAGTCCACTGACATGATGACAAGAGAAATGATTCACTATATTGCCAAAAGTATTCACCCATCTGCCTTCACTTTCATGAGTTTGAGGGACATAATCCTAATCCATAGGGTTTAGTAGGATGTCAGCCAGTCCTTTGCAGCTATAATAGCTTCAGCTCCTCTGAAAAGATTTTCCATAAGTTTTAACAGTGCATATATGTGTGTTTTTAACCTTTTTTTTTTCTTCCAAGAAACACATTTATGAGGTCAGGCACTGATGTTGGACAGGCCTGACTCATAGTTTCTGGTCTAATTTACCCCGAAGTTATTGCATTGAGTTTAGGATGAGTTTAGGCCAATCAGGTTTTTCCAAACTAAGATTCTTCATCCAGGTCTTTACGGACCTTGCTTTGCCAACTGGTGAGCTAACTGCTCTCACATGCAGGAATTTAGCCAAAATGTCTCAGTGTGAGGAAGTTTTAAGTTTCTTTCACCAGGCTGAGCCGGACTGCTGTTAAACAGTATGGCACCAAACCTTACGTTTGACACAACATAATCAGATCAGTGCTGTTCTTCTGGCCACTGCCGAACCCAGACCCGGTCACTGTATTACCAGACAGAGGCCTGTCTGGTATCAACATGTTTCCTCTGCTCTAGAGTCCAGCGCTTGGTGACTCTACATGCATCCACCACGCATCTTGGTGGATGCAGCTGCTTGGCCATCATAACCGATTAAATGCAGGCGTCTTTACAACGTTCTTGAGCTAATCCGAGGAAGTTCACACAAGCTTTGAAGGTCTGCAGCTATTGACTCTGCAGAATGTTGGCAACCCCTGCACACGCCTCAATATCTCAGTTTACTGTGGAGTGTTTGGTAACAAGGAAATATGATGACGAGACTCGTTGCACAGGAAATATCCTATCATGGTTCCCTGGAATCTGCTGAGGCTGATTTATCTTTCATAAACATTTAAAGGGACTTTCTGCATGCCAGGTTGCTCAATTTTATATATATTTAGCCATGGAAGTAACTGAAACGCTAGAATTTAATGATTTGGAAAGGTGACCTAATATTTTGACTAATATAATGTATTTTTACTTCATGAAAACTTTATTGTGTTTCCTTCTTAAGGGGTTATTTGCTCTGTTGTTGCACTTTTAGCAGCATTCAAAGGATTTTTGGACAATAATAGGAGTTAAGCTGTTGGCTTTGTGACCGTCTAACATATCTGAGTTACAATCAGCCTGGTAAAAGCAAACGCATTCGCGCCAATATTTCTACAGGCATTCCAAACAATTTAATAATTCACCAGAGATGCTGAAGTGGACAAAAAGAATGACATGACAGTCGATTTTCTACTCAGCTGCTCAGATGTGCTGCCCGATTTATGTCCTAGAAGTGACAAAAACATCAGAAACCTCTCGTCAGGGGGTGGATCAGGTGTAGCGGCACGCCGTTTTTTCATACCTTCCCTTGGGAAATCTACATTCACAGTTGTGACTGCAGATGAGAGATTTCCTCCAAAATATGTCCTTTCTCTGCTCTATACCAAGATAAAATAGGTTATGGTAATGGATTTTCTGTGAAAGTCCATCAGGAAGACCGTGTAAAAACGCAAACCCAATCAGCTGAAATTTGGCGGAGAATTGTAACACGAATGAAGAAGATTCAATTTATTTTTAGCTTTGTCAATAAATGAAAATGTGTATTTGGGAAAGAGTTGTTTGTCTCCTTTAATGAGAGGGTGAAAGCTGAGGAGCAGTTTTTCCCTCTGACTAAAGGACGTGCTCTCTCCAGGTTTGATCATTATAAATCAGAATTCAAGTCATTTATAATTTTATCCAATTTGAGCTTTCTATCGATCCGGCGCTGTTCAGTGGTAATGAATGTTTCCCAAAGAATTGAAAGATAACTGTACATTTATCTCTTTAACAAACACACAGAGGCCAAGTAAACTCCCACGTGCTGGCAATGAACATTTATTGCTGCAGCATTTCAGCACTAAACAGTCTTTCAGCACTAGACCTTCATCAGGTGATATTCAGTAAAGGATTTTGCCTGATGAAGGCCGGCTACTTCCATATCACATCAATAACTCTTTATTACACATTTTTAAAAATGCGCAGAAACTGGTCCTGATACAACCGTCACAGCTGCTCACCGTTTTCCATCTACAATACGTTCAATAAGGAAACAATCCTCCTGCAGGAGAGGCGTGTACTTAGCTTGCTCCAGCAGTTGCGGTCTGAGCAAAGCAGCAGCATGTTCTGATTTCATCTAACTCACAAAGCAACTTAATCATCTGGAAAGGAACTGCTGCTGCAACGTGCACTGTTTAAGATGTTAAATGTTTGATCTTGATTGAAATTCAGAGACTTTGGTATATAAGTGTGTTGTAATTGCTGCTCTCGTTAGAAGTTTTTACTCTCCAAGAACCTTTGCACTTTCTCATGTTACCACCACATATTTTATTGTGTACCACTGTGTGTAATAGACACACAATAGAGTCGGAGTTAGCCGTAGCTAAATGTGAAAAAGCTCCACCTTCCTTAGAAGCCGCATGTGGCTAAAATGCGAGACCAAAAACCTTGTTAAACCTGCCAGTAAACGGATGATGTGCCTCCCAATCCAGGGACATAAGATTCAGTTCAATCTGGAACGGTGCAGCTTAGTTCCTCTCTGTGTCTCTCCAAATTGCTCTCATCGAGGATGAAATGACTGGAAGGACGAGCATCTGTGGGAGTGGAAACTGACGGTGCTTAACTGAATATTTCAGGATCAGATCTCTATATTTGACATGCTGGTGGAAATGTCAGTAATTTCCATTTAAGCAAGAGATGATGAAACTGATTTAAAAAGTCAAGGATAAGAAGATGACCTAATATACACACATTTCCTTTCAGCAGAGACAGGAATGTAATTTAGATTCCTGATGGGGGTTTTATTGGAAACACGATATCTTATTCATAAATGTCCGGTAATTCCAGTAAATCCTACAAACTGGAATAATTTAACTGTGTCCCAGCTATTTGATGTTCTCTACAATATCAGTATTCGATCCTGTTTGTGCTTCTAATTCCAAAAAACATTACTGACATCATTTGTAATGCTGGTTTGGAAAAATGATGAAAGCGTAGAGACAAAAATTATTTTTAAAAAATAGGATGTTTTGTTGTTGATGCAGGAGGGCATCAACAACTCACCAAAAAGGTCACAAAAACAAAAGTTTTGAGGATGATCACTTTTGATCATCCGCTTGATCTACTAACTGCGGGATTTGAGCTTTTAACTATTCAGACATCTTATCTTAATTTCGAACCTCATTGATCTCGGTGTTAATCGTGTTACTGGATGTTTTGATGTCAAGAGCTCCATCTGAGCAATCTGTCTTTGGAAGATCTAATCTCATTCCCAGTCCTGGTTTTTATGCCATTTTCTTCTCACTTAGTTCAAGGGTGATAAAAATCATAACAGAGAATAATTCTCTAAGCTCTAAGACTAAAGACATGACAGAGATTGTGGTAGCAAATCCCATCAGGATTTTTTTTAAAACATTAAACACTTTATTGATGAATAAATAAAACTATCAGTAAAACTTGATTTGTGTTCTTGCAGATCTGGTACTACACTAATGGGATCCTACGGGAAGCGGGGTTTGCAGAGCACTTGCTCCCCTATGTTACACTGACCACGGGCGCTACGGAGACTCTGGCCGCCATCTTCTCAGTGAGTACGCCTGACGCCTTTACTTGTTTAAACTCAACGCAGTTCCTTTTATGGCACTTAAATTGAAATATCAAGGTGAAAAGAAGTTGACTCAGGTGGGAAGGAGGTGACTCTTGTGTATTTCTATTCATCTCCAGTGAATACTCCAGTGTGCTAGTGTTAGATATGCAGCAGTTAGACACAAGCTACTTCAAATATGATCATTTCATTTTCAAAACTGCACTTACACTCTGAAGAAATTCGCTTTGGTATTCTCTGTGCTCTGGTTAGACAATGACACATATTAAGGTTAATAAATGAGGCGTCAAAGATGTCAGAGTGAAGAAGTAATTAATGTTAATTGATGTCAGTGTTACTAATGTCACAATCGAAATATATAATCACATAATTACAGAAACCCAAGGTTGTTATTATGCCCTCCTCTGCACAGTTTGGATGACGGATACAGGAATTCAATAAAAGGAAAATAGTCTTTTTATTTAAGCACATCTTCATAAAACTACATGTTGTTCATGTTGTTATCTATGTTGTCAAAACACAGGTGGCATTTTTAAATGTTTGAAAAGGTTAATGTGCTAATCTCTTTAGAAAATCCCATTCTTAACAATTAGCATCAATGCTGTACAAATAATCTTGGGCAAATACTGACGTTTACAAACTCAACACATCAATATGAGTTTAGGTATTTACAGGCTTATATTCTCTATAGGGATGGAACAGCGTGTTTTTATTCCAAGTGTGTAAACTCACCGAATCATTTAATGTGTACATGTTGGGGAGGGTTCTGCTTGTTCTAATCAAACAAAGATAACGCGATAAGTCCACAGAAGAATTTTTTTTAAATATGTGGCTAAATGACTCCAAACAACCAAACCACCAGGTGCAGATTTTTGCAAATAAAAAGCCTTTCTTTTTTTTCTCTCTCTCTCTTTTTTTAAATCTAACTAAAGAGAATCTTCTCAAACATTTGACAACAAAGAAGCTATTCAACTTCAGAACCTGCTTAGCTATAGCTATATAATAAATTATATATAATAAATTGGACTTCAGAACAATGACAATGCCTCATTGCACTTCTTTAGAGTTTAGTGTATGGTAATTCTATGCACAGCTTTTCTTTGCTTTACTCTTTGCAGCTCAACCCACATGACACCCTATCCTATATCACATTAGTTTATCTCATGCTTTTATCCAATTTAACCTTCATTTGATCAGAAGAAGAGAGTGCACAGAGTTTATGTCTGGGTTTTATTTATAAATTTACTTCAGAGTGACATTAATGGCCGTTGGTAAGAGCTACAGATTTAAGTGCAAAATGCGGCTAATTTTACATCCTTCACAGATGACAGCTAACAAATACCTCAAATACTCATTCTCACAAGGTTTAAATGCTTTTATAATATGTAGTGCAAAATAATTAAGTACATGGTACAAAGTACTTTTATTATGTGGATCTCAGCTGTCCCATCAACTGAGGACTACTATGGTTGGTGAAAGGAGATTCTTCCATATGATTTTTAATAAACAGCCCTAATATGCCAAATGCTAAATCTGACACCTGACTTTGGATTAAACTGAGCCTTACTAGAGTCTCTCTAGATCTAACCAAGTCGCTCCTTTAAACATGAGGAGCCACTTGCCAATAAATTAAATCAACAAACAAAATGTCTTATGTAATTTAGGTCGAATGAAAGTGAGTCATATGGTTCTAAATTAGACATCAGTTTATCCTCTATGGGCCTCGGACGGGTTGGGCATTGTATAACAGATTTCTTTTGGCACTTTTCCCTCCAAAGGCAAGTGTTTCTTTCTTCAAACAGAAGCACTTAACGAAAAGCAGTGGGAAATGTTCCCTGTCATCTGCCCTCATTAAATAGGTATATTACTCCTCGTGTGGGATCCTCAGAATTTCTTTGAGTCTTGCGAACGTTTGCACACTAGATACAATCTTTGATCTTTGAAAGATCAAACCTGAGCTGAGTCACTCAGGCCTACGGTAACTTGGTTTCAAGAGCAGGTCGGCTGACTTTTGATCTGTACAGCCCTTTTATGTTGCTAAAAATGATGATTCACTAGACAGAAATAATTAAAATTAGAAATTTTACTTATTACAGTAGTCCCCGTTAATAAATTTGTGATTTTATTTTTATTTTTTTTATCTTTACATCATGTTGTAATGTCAGTCCCTCATAAAACACATGCAGCATGTTTCTTTGACTCAAGTCGCGTCTGTTTGAGAAACTCTTGAATCTCCTGCAGCTTCGGTGAGAATGATTTGAATCGTGGCTTCAGGTGGTTCATTAGTAAGAAGCTCTCACCTGGTTTCAAGATGCTGCTTTGTTTAATTTAGATAGCAATATTCAGTGTGTGCATTTTTGATTTTGGAAATGAATACGTCTGTAGCTTTTGCTGGATTCCCGAAACTGGGGCTTTCCACAACAGGAACCTGCCAAAATTCACAACAAACACTTCTTTCACACGTTTAACATGTTTTTAAATGTAAAAAAATTGATAAATTGTGGGCAAATGGAAAGCTTTCCTGAAGCAGGTGACTTATTTTGGCCCTGATGTGACTGTGCCAAGAGTCTGCAAGGAAACATGAGCAGTCTGTTGGCATCCTCCAGTTTGGATTTAATGAGCTTTGGGAATACTCTGGCTCCATATGGGCTGACCCAGAACACGCCATCTTTTTCTGGTATTCCCCCATCATGTACAATAATATATGGCTGCTTCCTTTTGTTCTCCACCAGACAGTCTTTGAAAATAGAGCAAAGCCTTTTAGCTGCAGTATATTTATCTTGCTTTCTTCTTGTGTCCTTGAGTGAGCTTTGATTACAGGGATATTGCTCTTTTTCTTTTGCCCTTTGCCCTCCTGTAAAATTTATATTTGGTACTTTGACAGCTTTGCTGTACAGAAGCAAAGGCTTTAGATCTTTAAATTGTGTTTGTGTTCTTTTTCATCATGGCTTCTAAGTTTTTTTGCTCCAAAAGCTTAAACTATACAAATTTGTCATAAGATTTGGTTCGTGGAAAGGCTGATTAAAAAACAAACTTTTTAAAAGTCAGTATTGGCCCAACAAGAGGAAACTATTTTCAGGATATGAGTAGGCAATGTTTGTCCTTCTGCCAGAAATATACATTTTTTCTCCTTCAAGCTATTTTACCACCTTATCTTTTCAGATTGTTAAAGATATCAAATAGCATTTTGAGGCACCAGCATTTCTGTTGCATGGGCATTGATTTGTGGACCAAAATGCCTTAAATATAAGATTTCTATTTGAATAGTTGTTTTTCCATTTGAATTTTGCAGATGAGATTGAAGACGATTGTATTGCTTTTGTTTTTGTTAATCTGACTGACCTATGATATGAACATGTTTATGTGGCTGTGGAGAAATTTGCTGGGATTTAGTGCAGTGCAGATTTAGAAAAGCTTGCATTCAGCTGCGACTGTTCCCACAACAATTCCCTCCCTTCTATAAAATAAATGTAACAGAAGCACTTCATGATTTATTATTTACTTGAAAAGCTGATCAGAGTTTCTAGAAACCTCTTATTAGTAATCCAATACTCCGTGTTTTCCTGGGGTATAAATATGTCATAACACAGAGGCCTAATTCTTTTAGCCAGTGGCTCGAGGCTGATTGAGGACACATTTATCTTGTCGCCACGCTCTGCACTCAGGAACTTTTTTTTTCCCCCATCCCCTCAACAGATTTTTGTACTCTGAAAGAAATACAGCTTTTCATGCTGTATTTCTTAACTCTCTGATCATTTGAATATGTTCTGGTTGGAGGACAAAATGAGGTGGAACATTAGTTTTTCATCCATAAGAAGGACTTACAAAAGAAACGGTTAAAACTTCCTTGTTGCGAAGGTTGAGTATTTTAGCTCAACAGCAAAAAAAAGTTTGCTGCTGGGCATCTGGACAAGAAGATGAACCAGCCTTTTGAGTTTTTAAATCTTATGAACATCACTAGACATTACAATGTGAATTAAATAAAACAGTATTTCAGATAAATTTATCTTCTACAATTTCATTTTATCTTGCTTTATATGCTCTTCCTGTCTCATGTATCAAGTTTATTGGATCTGTCACATATTGTTAATCGTTTTCATATTATGGTTTGGAATTTGGATCTTAGCTTCTTTTATAACCCTGCAGCAACTTATAAAACTAATCATGTCCCATTTTTCCATTTTATAGTCACAGGTTTGAATACATTTATTCAAATCTGATCTGATGGATCAGCTCAAAGTACCCAAAGTTAGGTGACAGGGAAAGTCTAAGCAGTTTTTAAAAATCAAAAGTTTTAACACATTTCTATTCAACCCTGTACTTTAATATCCTTCATATAAACCCAGTGTAACCATTTACCTTTTAAAAAAGCACAGTGTGTAATTCAGTCCCAACCTAAATCAAGCTGTACATTACTGTCTTAAGAGATTTCTTAGTTAATTTTAGTGAATGAAAGAATAATGAATAAAGGAACACAGCAGGGATAAAGTTGCAGATAATTTTAAAGCCAGACTGGGTTTTGAAAAAAAAAAAATCCCAAGCTTTGAACATCTGGCACTGTTCAATTCATCAGCTGAAAATACGCAGAGTATGCCACCAGGACATTGCACTTCACCTGAAACGACTGGTCTTGGAAGAAGATCAATAATGAAAGAAGCTGCCAGAAGTCCAGGGTAGATCTGGTGGACCTACAGGAAACCAAAATTCAAGTGTGAGAATCTGCTCACAGAAATGGCCTCAGCAGTAGGATGGCACTTCTCACAAAGAGCAGGAAGCTGATGTTTTTCTTTCGTGTGGACATTGGAAACTGGTTAAATTTGATTTGTAGATGGTAATAATGAAGCAGAATAATCTGGGAAGAAAACCTGTAGAGATTGCAGAAGACTTGAGACGAGAGATCAACCTCCCAGCAGGACAGTGACTCTATAAGAGTCCAGCTCCAGTCTTCAAGGCCCGGCGTCCTCCTGCTCCAACACACCTGA